TTATATAAACTTCTCACATTCTACAACGCTTATTAGCAAACATCTCCAAATTGTTAGTCATGAATCATCTGCGCCTCGAGCAAGCGAACTGAGCTGCGAGCTAGGATAATGGATTTATTACGCATAATTTGAATGAGTTTGATGTTTAGAGCAGAAGGAAAGGATTTACGCCTTGAACGAGAACAGGCCGCCTTTCGAGGAACGCCGCGTTATGCAAGCATCGCAGCACTGAGTATGGTATGTGCTATGATGACAATGTTAGAAAATATAGAAATTAATCAGACTGCAATTGCTTTCAGAAAGAGCAGTCTCGCAAAGATGATTTGGAGTCGTGGTGGTATATGATAGTCGAACTGATGGTTGGGCATTTACCTTGGCAAGATGTGCAGGTAAGTGTTCCATAAGCTTTATGAATTAGGAGAAAGTATGAGTGCTTACCAAATATATTTAGCGAAATCACTTAGAAGAATTCAAGACGATGAAGAAGAATGTTCGACAGCCAAAGAACCTCAAAATAGTAAGTAATTAAGCTCTAGCCCGTAATAGCTTGTTTGATTAAAACCACACACTTCTGAGCGTTAGAACGTCGAGTACAAGCGTGAGCATTCTCGTAGTGCTTCGAGGGTAGATGACTATTACCGCCAGCTTGCCCCGTCCTCGCTGGCAAGTGATCCTCTCAAGATCTAGTCTTGTCACTGTTGAAAGTAGTGAAGCATCGTGATAAAAATGAAGAAGCTTAAAATAAAAACAAACACACTTAAATCTCACGTTATGTAACAGAAGATGGAAGAGCTGTTCGCGAAGGCAGGGCTAATGGCGGTATATTCTTCTACGTAAAAAAAAACTAAAGTTCTATGAGCTGGAGAGCCTAGGTAAGGCAAGCGGCTCCACATACTAAATCCTTTTTCATAAGGCGTTCTCTGGTACTAAGGATAAGATTTTCTATAGCAAGTATCTAGTCTAGGTACCCAAATGTTGTTGGCTATGAACTTTCCTAAGGTATCGTAGTCTTCTTACGAACGTCTCAGCAAGCGATTTCTTCGCCGATTTTGGCGGCTGAGTTGCACAAAACAACAGCATCTCAGTTGTAACCGACAAACAGACAATTCGCTTGCTGAACCGTTAATTGTCACGATTCATTGGAAAGTCCGTAGTCGGCATATGTGCGTCAATTTTCTTCGTGTATACGACGAATGAAAAA